CGATTTTGTATTTCTGTTTTCAAGAAAACGCCATTTAATCTTGTGGAATCATTTAATTTTAGATGATACACAAATGAATAGAACATGAAACAAACCACTTTCAATTTTAATACCATTGCTAATCAACACCACGTAATATTCTTTGTACAACAAGCACACTTTGACATGCAAAAATTTGGAAACTACAGACACTACTGAAAATACAGTATAAACAACTGCCACCTTTTTATACAATTCATACAAATTCTTGTAGCAATGTAAGGAGCCACAGTAAACAATATGATAAATATCATAAAATTTTAATTAACACTATCAATTTTTATAGAATAATTCAATTATACATTATTAAAGGATAAATATATCATATTTAAAGAGAAACATTTTTCTTTTTCCACAGCCATTAAAATAAATTCAGTATAAAAATTCCATTATTTATGTTGAATCGAATATAAAATAATGCAAAAAAAAAAAAAATCATAATAAACAACTTAAATTGATATTTATTAAATTTATTAAACTCTAAAATAGCTTAGATACTCATAAACACGAGATCTCTGGTACAATATTTACTTTATTATGATGTTTATTTATGATTGAACGTGTGTAGTATCTGCATTTGTCTATAGAACATTTTTATTAATTTATACCAAAAAATAATAAAAATTCAAGTAGAGTCTATATAAATAAACTCATAGCTGGTACAATATACAGATATTTATGTGCATTTATCATGTCATATCAATTTTATGCCAAAAAAAATATATAAAAAGGCAAACCATGTCATGTGTACGATGACTATGACGATGATGATGTTGTTTAGGAAACGGAAACATGCCAATATGGTTGTGCATGGTTTTTTAATGTAGTTGGGTGTTGATGTGTATGAGTGTGCATGTGTTTGTATGGGTATGTGTAAGCAAAATATTGAAAGAGGGTAGACAGACAATGTTTGTCATATTTTTAAAATTTTTATTTTTTTATTCTTTAAGTCTATTTTATTAAGTATTTGTGTCAATACGAGGTCAAGCTTTAAAGTCATTTAGCTAAGAAATATTCAACAATAAATATTTAGAAGATTTCGGAAATTCAATTCTAGTTCTGCTCTAGTTCAGTTCTAGTTCAGTTCTAGTTCAGTTCTAGTTCAGTTCTAGTTAAGTTCTAGTTAAGTTCTAGTTAAGTTCTAGTAAGTTCTAGTTAAGTTCTAGTTCAGTTCTAGTTCAGTTCTAGTTCAGTTCTAGTTCAGTTCTAGTTCAGTTCTAGTTCAGTTCTAGTTCAGTTCTAGTTCAGTTCTAGTTCAGTTCTAGTTCAGTTCTAGTTAAGTTCTAGTTAAGTTCTAGTTAAGTTCTAGTTCAGTTCTAGTTCAGTTCTAGTTCAGTTCTAGTTCAGTTCTAGTTCAGTTCTAGTTCAGTTCTAGTTCAGTTCTAGTTCAGTTCTAGTTCAGTTCTAGTTCAGTTCTAGTTAAGTTCTAGTTAAGTTCCAGTTCAGTTCTAGTTTAGTTCTAGTTCAGTTCTAGTTCAGTTCTAGTTCAGTTCTAGTTCAGTTCTAGTTCAGTTCTAGTTCAGTTCTAATTCAGTTCTAGTTCAGTTCTAGCTCAGTTCTAGTTCAGTTCTATCCTAGTTCAGTTCTAGTTCAGTTCTAGTCAGTTCTAGTTCAGTTCTAGTTCAGTTCTAGTTCAGTTCTAGTTATGTTCTAGTTATGTTCTAGTTATGTTCTAGTTATGTTCTAGTTCGTTCTAGTTCAGTTCTAGTTCAGTATCAGTTCAGTCAGTTCTAGTTCAGTTCTAGTTCAGTTCTAGTTCAGTTCTAGTTCAGTTCTAGTTCAGTTCTAGTTCAGTTCTAGTTTCAGTTCTAGTTCAGTTCTAGTTCAGTTCTAGTTCAGTTCTAGTTCAGTTCTAGTTCAGTTCTAGTTCAGTTCTAGTTCAGTTCTAGTTCAGTTCTAGTTCAGTTCTAGTTCAGTTCTAGTTCAGTTCTAGTTCAGTTCTAGTTCAGTTCTAGTTCAGTTCTAGTTCAGTTCTTCAGTTCTAGTTCAGTTCTAGTAGTTAGTTCAGTAGTTCAGTTCTAGTTCAGTTCTAGTTCAGTTCTAGTTCAGTTCTAGTTCAGTTCTAGTTCAGTTCTAGTTCAGTTCTAGTTCAGTTCTAGTTCAGTTCTAGTTCAGTTCTAGTTCAGTTCTAGTTCAGTTCTAGTTCAGTTCTAGTTCAGTTCTAGTTAGTTCAGTTCTAGTTCAGTTCTAGTTCAGTTCTAGTTCAGTTCAGTTCAGTTCTAGTTCAGTTCTAGTTCAGTTCTAGTTCAGTTCTAGTTCAGTTCTAGTTCAGTTCTAGTTCAGTTCTAGTTCAGTTCTATTGTTCAGTTCTAGTTCAGTTCTAGTTCAGTTCTAGTTCAGTTCTAGTTCAGTTCTAGTTCAGTTCTAGTTCAGTTCTAGTTCAGTTCTAGTTCAGTTCTAGTTCAGTTCTAGTCAGTTCTAGTTCAGTTCTAGTTCAGTTCAGTTCATTTCTAGTTCAGTTCTAGTTCAGTTCTAGTTCAGTTCTAGTTCAGTTCTAGTTCAGTTCTAGTTCAGTTCTAGTTCAGTTCTAGTTCAGTTTAGTTCAGTTCTAGTTCAGTTCTAGTTCAGTTCTAGTTCAGTTCTAGTTCAGTTCTAGTTCAGTTCTAGTTCAGTTCTAGTTCAGTTCTAGTTCAGTTCTAGTTCAGTTCTAGTTCAGTTCTAGTTCAGTTCTAGTTCAGTTCTAGTTCAGTTCTAGTTCAGTTCTAGTTCAGTTCTAGTTCAGTTCTAGTTCAGTTCTAGTTCAGTTCTAGTTCAGTTCTAGTTCAGTTCTAGTTCAGTTCTAGTTCAGTTCTAGTTCAGTTCTAGTTCAGTTCTAGTTCAGTTCTAGTTCAGTTCTAGTTCAGTTCTAGTTCAGTTCTAGTTCAGTTCTAGTTCAGTTCTAGTTCAGTTCTAGTTCAGTTCTAGTTCAGTTCTAGTTCAGTTCTAGTTCAGTTCTAGTTCAGTTCTAGTCAGTTCAGTTCTAGTTCAGTTCTAGTTCAGTTCTAGTTCAGTTCTAGTTCAGTTCTAGTTCAGTTCTAGTTCAGTTCTAGTTCAGTTCTAGTTCAGTTCTAGTTCAGTTCAGTTCTAGTTCAGTTCTAGTTCAGTTCTAGTTCAGTTCTAGTTCAGTTCTAGTTCAGTTCTAGTTCAGTTCTAGTTCAGTTCTAGTTCAGTTCTAGTTCAGTTCTAGTTCAGTTCTAGTTCAGTTCTAGTTCAGTTCTAGTTCAGTTCTAGTTCAGTTCTAGTTCAGTTCTAGTTCAGTTCTAGTTCAGTTCTAGTTCAGTTCTAGTTCAGTTCTAGTTCAGTTAGTTCAGTTCTAGTTCAGTCTAGTTCAGTTCTAGTTCAGTTCTAGTTCAGTTCTAGTTCAGTTCTAGTTCAGTTCTAGTTCAGTTCTAGTTCAGTTCTAGTTCAGTTCTAGTTCAGTTCTAGTTCAGTTCTAGTTCAGTTCTAGTTCAGTTCTAGTTCAGTTCTAGTTCAGTTCTAGTTCAGTTCTAGTTCAGTTCTAGTTCAGTTCTAGTTCAGTTCTAGTTCAGTTCTAGTTCAGTTCTAGTTCAGTTCTAGTTCAGTTCTAGTTCAGTTCTAGTTCAGTTCTAGTTCAGTTCTAGTTCAGTTCTAGTTCAGTTCTAGTTCAGTTCTAGTTCAGTTCTAGTTCAGTTCTAGTTCAGTTCTAGTTCAGTTCTAGTTCAGTTCTAGTTCAGTTCTAGTTCAGTTCTAGTTCAGTTCTAGTTCAGTCTAGTTCAGTTCTAGTTCTAGTTCAGTTCTAGTTCAGTTCTAGTTCAGTTCTAGTTCAGTTCAGTTCAGTTCTAGTTTCTAGTTCAGTTCTAGTTCAGTCTAGTTCAGTTCTAGTTCAGTTCTAGTTCAGTTCTAGTTCAGTTCTAGTTTAGTTCAGTTCTAGTTCAGTTCTAGTTCAGTTCTAGTTCAGTTCAGTTCAGTTCTAGTTCAGTTCTAGTTCAGTTCTAGTTCAGTTCTAGTTCAGTTCTAGTTCAGTTCTAGTTCAGTTCTAGTTCAGTTCTAGTTCAGTTCTAGTTCAGTTCTAGTTCAGTTCTAGTTCAGTTCTAGTTCAGTTCTAGTTCAGTTCAGTTCTAGTTCTAGTTCAGTTCTAGTTCAGTTCTAGTTCAGTTCTAGTTTAGTTCTAGTTCAGTTCTAGTTCAGTTCTAGTTCAGTTCTAGTTCAGTTCTAGTTCAGTTCTAGTTCAGTTCTAGTTCAGTTCTAGTTCAGTTCTAGTTCAGTTCTAGTTCAGTTCTAGTTCAGTTCTAGTTCAGTTCTAGTTCAGTTCTAGTTCAGTTCTAGTTCAGTTCTAGTTCAGTTCTAGTTCAGTTCTAGTTCAGTTCTAGTTCAGTTCTAGTTCAGTTCTAGTTCAGTTCTAGTTCAGTTCTAGTTCAGTTCTAGTTCAGTTCTAGTTCAGTTCTAGTTCAGTTCTAGTTCAGTTCTAGTTCAGTTCTAGTTCAGTTCTAATTCAGTTCTAATTCAGTTCTAGTTCAGTTCTAGTTCAGTTCTAGTAGTTAGTTTAATTTCTAAAGAGTTTTTTAGAATGCTTTCGTACCTGTGTTACATACAAGTATGTGTAAATAAGTATTTATTTATGTGTTAATTTTCTCTTTATTTATTAAGAGTATGGTTTAATTTATTTTATAAAATATCGTATATATTTCTGTTCAGAAACATATTTGTCGTATATGTAAAAATATAAAAATATCCCTTACTATATTACTCTATCAATGTTTCAATGTGTATTAACTGGAACTATTTAAAATTGTATGTGTGTGTATTTTGTGTTAACTTTTAAAATATTGATTATATAAATTATAGTCCTTCATTTTGTCTATTAATCTACAGAAAGTAAATATAAATTTACCTTTTTTTAAATGTTCGACATTTCTACAGCAGCAGAGTAAATTTTACATTTAATGTTTGTGTTTATCTTTAATTTTTTGTTTAATCACAAATTATTGTAATTAATAAAATTTTGTATTTATATTTCTTAGAATAAAGTGGTGGTGGTCGATGGTACAAGGGTTAAATTACAAATTTGGGATACGGCTGGCCAAGAACGTTTTCGTAGTGTTACCCATGCCTACTACAGAGATGCTCATGGTAAGTGTTTTTATTTATTTCAAAGAGCTTAAGAATTTATGAAATATTTATTTGAACTTCAAAGGAATATATTTAATAAATTGTTATTAATTAAAATAAATGATTAAAGCAAATGTTCTCAATAGAAAATTAAAGTTAGAAGAAATTAAATAAGTGCTGTTTTTGCCTTACAGTTTTAGTTTTGTTCTTGTTCTGTTCTAGTTATACCCTACACCATTTTAGTGGGGAGGGTATATTGGATTTGTGCTGATGTTTGTAACATACAAAAATATTCGTCCTAGACCCACCTTAAAGTATACCAATCGGCTTAGAATCGTTTTCTGAGTCGATTAAGCTATGTCCGTCCGTCCGTCTGGCTGGCTGGCTGTCCATGTAAACCTTGTGCGCAAGGTACAGGTCGCAATTTTCAAGATAATTGGATGAAATTTGCACGCACGTTTTATTTGACCCAAGGACGAAGCCTATTGAAAATGGTTAAAATCGGTCCATTATTTCAGACAGGTCCCCCCGAAAAGGGCTTTTGACCTCATAATTATGTTAAATATACAGATATATCGATAAAATACGGCACAACTAAGTTTTATAGAAGTCTTGATGACCCTGCCAAATTTCATAAAGATCGGGCCCCATCTGACCCTAGCTCCCATACAAAGTCCCCTTCAGAAAATTACTTGAATGTCCAAAATTAACTTATAAACACAAATATCGCGACGAAATTCAGTACAATAAAATATTATGTAAATATAAATATATTCACAAAATTTTATCGGGCTTGGTCCATATTTGCCCCTAGCCCCCATATAAAGCCCCTTTCAGAAAATTAGTTTTTCATCCATAAATTGCTTAAATGTATCGGAACAAGGGAATATTGAAGATAAATGCTTTATTATGAAAATAAATCACATTTAATATTCATAACTGGTGTAGGGTATCATATGGTCGGCCACGACCGACTATACTTTCTTACTTATTTGTTCTAGTTCTGTTCTAGTTCTGTTCTAGTTCTGTTCTAGTTCTGTTCTAGTTCTGTTCTAGTTCTGTTCTAGTTCTGTTCTAGTTCTGTTCTAGGTTCTGTTCTAGTTCTGTTCTAGTTCTGTTCTAGTTCTGTTCTAGTTCTGTTCTAGTTCTGTTCTAGTTCTGTTCTAGTTCTGTTCTAGTTCTTGTTCTAGTTCTGTTCTAGTTCGTTCTAGTTCTGTTCTAGTTCTGTTCTAGTTCTGTTCTAGTTCTGTTCTAGTTCTGTTCTAGTTCTGTCCTAGTTCTGTTCTAGTTCAGTTCTAGTTCTGTTCTAGTTCTGTTCTAGTTCTGTTCTAGTTCTGTTCTAGTTCTGTTCTAGTTCTGTTCTAGTTCTGTTCTAGTTCTGTTCTAGTTCTGTTCTAGTTCTGTTCTAGTTCTGTTCTAGTTCTGTCCTAGTTCTGTTCTAGTTCAGTTCTAGTTCTGTTCTAGTTCTGTTCTAGTTCTGTTCTAGTTCTGTTCTAGTTCTGTTCTAGTTCTGTTCTAGTTCTGTTCTAGTTCTGTTCTAGTTCTGTTCTAGTTCTGTTCTAGTTCTGTTCTAGTTCTGTTCTAGTTCTGTTCTAGTTCTGTTTAGTTCTGTTCTAGTTCTGTTCTGTTCTAGTTCTGTTCTAGTTCTGTTCTAGTTCTGTTCTAGTTCTGTTCTAGTTTTGTTCTAGTTGTGTTCTAGTTCTGTTCTAGTTCTGTTCTAGTTCTGTTCTAGTTCTGTTCTAGTTCTGTTCTAGTTCTGTTCTAGTTCTAGTTCTGTTCTAGTTCTGTTCTAGTTCTGTTCTAGTTCTGTTCTAGTTCTGTTCTAGTTCTGTTCTAGTTCTCTTCTAGTTCTGTTCTAGTTCTCTTCTAGTTCTGTTCTAGTTCTGTTCTAGTTCTGTTCTAGTTCTGTTCTAGTTCTGTTCTAGTTCTGTTCTAGTTCTGTTCTAGTTCTGTTCTAGTTCAGTTCTAGTTCTGTTCTAGTTCGTTCGAATACTACGTATTTTCAAGTAATTTAACATTCTGAACAGATATTTGTCATAAAAGTGGAGGTTATTTAAGAAAACACTAAAACCATTACTTAATTAAAGAACATTTAAAAGAAATTTCATTAATATGTCTAAATTTGTTTATTTGTTTTGACATTACAGCTTTACTTTTATTATACGATGTTACCAATAAAACCACATACGATAATATACGGGCCTGGTTGTGCGAAATTCGAGATTGTGCTCAAGAAGACGTGGTCATTGTACTCATAGGTAAATATATAACATATAGTCAAACATTTTATACAGTTAGTTAATCACTTTGTGTAATAAACAAAGAATTAATATTAAATTTGGATGGGGAGTGAGAGGGTGGCAATCGGAGGGGTCTAAAGAAAAATATCACAATAAACAACAAATTACATTAATTAAACGTTTTGTTACCATAGGCAACAAATCAGATTGTAGCAGCAGTGAAAGGCAGGTGAAACGAGAGGATGGTGAACGTTTGGCACGTGAACACAATGTACCGTTCATGGAAACCTCTGCAAAAACAGGATTAAATGTGGAATTGGCATTTCAAACAGTTGCTAGGTTAGTATCGTCTATTTTTCTTTAATGTTTGTTGGCTTGAGGTTGTAAAAATCTTGGAATTAGTTTTTCATTTAATGTTATTTTTCACTTTATTCTTTTTCTATTTGTTTCTTTTTACTTTAACAGACAATTAAAGAATCGTGGCTATGAAAATGGTGATGATGGCAAATTTAATGTTCATGAATTTGTGCGAGATAATACAAAAGCAAAAAGTATATGTGCTCAGTGTTCGTTTTAAATATTTTTTTTTTTTTCTTTAAACAATAATAAATTTTAAAACACACAATATTTATTTATTTTAAAATAAGAAAAAAAAGAAGATGGAAAAAAATAAAAGTATTTTGTTGGGGGAACAAGAAGTTACACTTCAATTAGGTTTCCTTGTAACAATAATAAATTCTCTATTCCCAGACCTGGAACAAACAACAATAACAACTGAAAACGCGTGTTTATTTTATGTTATTTTTACATTAATTTTAAAATATAAATCATTTATAGAACCTTAAGTTATATTTCATATATTTGTTGTTGTTGTTTTTAAAAAATCTTCCTCCCAGAGAATTTTGTAATTTATAGAAAAGTTATTTATATTGAAATGTTTGGATTTGATGCTGAGAAGAAGGTGCTTTTAGTCTGAAAAGCAACAATTTATTTTAATTTTTTGTGTTTGTAAGGAACATGAATAAAAACATTTGTATATTTTCAAACTCATAACAGTTAATTTTACAATTATGTTAATTGGTTTTTTAGAATTTGCCAGAATTACTTTGTAAACAAATGTTATGTTTTTGTAAAATTCATTTTGTTAAATGTAAAAGATTAATGGTTATATGTACTAAATAGGAAACATATATTTTAAATGTCTATAAATTAAAGATTAAATAAGTTTAAGTTGCAACCTTAGGTTTGAGTTAATTTATATAAAAAAGAGTTGCCAGATGGTTGAGTTTTTTGAATTTTAAAGTAATTATTTGGAAAATTTGTTTGTAGAAACTGGAAATAATATTAATTTTGTTTATGAAACTTTAAAACAATTGTTCTATTCACAATTGGTGTCGTATTGTTGTAAGTATTTAATATGGAAGTTTAGCCTTAGATTCTCGTTGAGCAAATTCCGAGAACAGATTTGGATTTAGAGTTCAATACTTTAATCAGTGAGTTAAGAATTTGCTGGCGTATGTTATCATCAGATCAGTGTTAAGTCAGTGGCAAGCGGGTTCAGATGAACATGTAATTTTGACAAATTTCTACGCTTCACGAGTTTTTTGGAATACAATATTGACCAAAGCTACATATAAGTCTATGTTGATGTTTTCATTTCGTATATACAATCGAGATTCCTTCATGGTTCTATGAATTTTGGATTGATCCCTCTATATACATAAGATCTATACTGGCATTTTGATTGATGGTCGGTTAACCAGTGTTAATTAAAAACGTTAAGTTTTAGGTGGAGCTAAGAAGACGCACATCCAAGTGTAAACCATGGAATGTAACATGACCAGACTGTGGAATATTTAGATTGTTATGTGTCACTGGTGGGCAACTTCCTCTACCATGTTTACTCTTGAGATTAATATCTTTTTTTTTATGGAATTTTGTAAACAATGAACAGCTGTTGCATTCAACTATTGTGAATGAATTGTTCACAGCAAGTTCACAATAGGAATTTTCCCTTTGAGAGGAATGAAAATTTCATGAGAACAAAAATTTCACTTCCTGGCGATAGGAGTGAATATTCTAGACTGCTAAATTTGACACCACACGAGAAGAAAGAATGACAGTGTTATCTCCAAGGTTTAAAATGGGCAATTCATTGGGCATTGAAAAACTACAGTTGTTTATTAGATATTGGTCTTGGGTAACATTAAAAATTGTTTCAGAATAATACTGTTTTAGTTCCATATCATTTTTAATCTCTCCATCTAAGCGGTTAACTTGTTCAATTGTTCCCTAATGTTCACGGAATCCGAGTTAATGATATAGAACGATGTGCTACTTTCCCAAGTATCACTAAGATATATACAGTAAGTGTAGCTTGGGTACAATTTCCAGATCTTCAGATCATGTCTAATGCAGTCTCCGACGACATGCTCAATCATACAACTGGGATACTTCGTTTTCGTTAACATTACATGGAGAAGTATCTAATAAGATTTCCATCAATAAATCAAGACATTCAAAAATCCTGGTAAAGAAGGAAAATTCACCAATGAGACATAAATAAGATACCGTACATTCCTCACTATTCATATTCATCCGATTATTTAAGAGAAAATATCCGTCACATTCACACTCTGACCTCTGTTGTTTCGACAACAGCACCTAGAGACGTATTTGTTAGAGCGAAGTACATGGTATTTACTCTCCCTAAAACGTACCTTGACAAAGAAGGGAATTTCGCCACTGTTACGTGATACCATACAACCATAAGCCTTCAACTTATCACATCCGATACATTTTAAAGAAAAAATTCAACACATTCATACAAGCCCCACCGAGATCTGAGATGTTCTGTTGTATCGACAATACCACGAACAGAGTTCAATCAATTCTTAAATCAACATTCTCTTAGCGCGGTTTCAATTCAACCACAACGCGAGTTCCGCATTATGCTCTCTAATAACCAGCACAATACACTGTCTACAACAATACCCTGTGGGTCAACGGTTTCCATGGTAACGGACCTCTAGTTCCTGTACCTCTTTCCATCAGTAATGCAATAACACTAAGGAGAAGACGAACATCCAAAATGACTTGTCTCAGGGCAAAATATCGAAAAGCTCTTGAGTCAATATCTCATTAACAAATACTGCGAGCTGATAACCAGGAAATTATTTACCCAACAAAACATGTTGTACTTACTCAACAACTTACTTTTCAATGACTACCGTCTGCATTACTTAGTTATTACTTACAAATAATATATTATGTAAGTACATACTTTCTAGCCTTGATATATTGTTTTAAAACTTTGTTTTTAACACAAAGGAAAAACATTTTTTTGTGAAAACAAATAATAGAAGATGTGGACGTATCCTTGCTGGAAATTTGTTTTTTCTCAGAAACAAAACTACTTACTTAACTCCTTATTTGCAAGCGATCGTAGTAAGTACTTACCTAACTCCCTATTTGTAAGAAAGCGAAGTAAGTATATATAATGTCATCATCGTGATAAAATAATGACTTAAATTCAATGTAAGTTTTGCTGGGTAGGTTAAGGTTAGCTCGGTTCAGAATCTGTTTCTGTACTTTAAATATAATATTAATTCTAAAAAATTGCAAAATTTTACAACATACAACGACATACGACTGCAATTGTGAATGGCATAATTCTATGGCTATAAAGAACAAATAACTAATTTCTTGAGATAAGTAATTTTTCCTTGTTGTCACATAATATTTTTTCCAATAAATTTCCTGCATTTTAACAATAACAAAAAACCTATATTGCACAATGTATAATCAGTTAAAGAATTTATTTTTTAATAAAAAGCTATAAAAATATACACAAAAAATATATTTTTTTTAACAACAAATAAAACCAAAAAAAAGGAGTTTAATAACAGGAAATAGTGGGAAAACAATAAAAATAGTAGCAAAAGCCAAGTAACAACAAATATATAGAACGAATATTTGACATTTTTGTAAAAAACAATAACCAAATTGTAAAACTATTTGTAACAAGTAAAGTAAAGCATGGTAAAAAAACTCCACAAAATAATAACTAAAAAAATATAGAACCAAAATATATATATAGGAAACTATTACCACATACAAAAAAAAAAAATAATAATAAAAATTTATATTTGAATATGTGTACAAAAATACAAATATTAAATTTTATATTTAATAACCATAAACAAGTACCAAAATAAATAAATAAATAATCATTGTTATGCCAATCAATTTATTAAATATTACAACAACAACAGAAAAATAATATTTAATATTTAAAAATATTTGTTTTTTTTTAGATTTTAATTTCACACTTAAATTTATTAATTCTTATTTTAATTCTTTTGTACTGAAAAAAATATTTAAAAAAAATTAATATGAAATTTAATATAAATATTAAGAAAACTGACCAGGAAGAGAAATATATATATAATATTTAAATACAGAAATATATAGCTGGAAAACATATAATTGAAAATTAATTTTGAAATTCCCAGACAAATCTATGTAATTATTATAAAATTTCTAGGATTTGTTAAGAATTTCGTAAATAATATTAGAAAATTTTATTATTTATATGTAGAGGCTAATTAATCTTATAATTTTATTAAGACTTCAGTTTATTTAAATTTATTATTTAAACTTTAGTTAACCACCTCTGATTAATTAGCCTTTAAACTTTATTACTAAACCTGTTTAAATTATAATTCATCATAAAAACTGAATAGATTTTTTCATAAAAACTAAAACTGCTAAACGAATTTTAAGAAAAAAAGGCTTATTTACTCTTTTTTTAAGTATTTGTGATATTTGTAGAGTTCAAAACATTGCACACCTATTGAATAAAGTTATTCGATTACCTATTAATGACATAAATATGTATATATGTTCTCGACCTTATTTCACGGTGGTACTTTTACAACTACAAGACAAGATATTCGAAAACTCCTCTGCCTTTTTATACATGGTTCCGACGGTCCTTTGCTCAATTACTCAAGCTATCTAATCTCTAATCATTGCTGCCTGTTGCTTAACTTCCGAGATGCAAAAGTATCACATCCGTACTCTGCTGATTCGGCAGCAGTACCTAATCGGTATATCGAAACAAGTTCTTACTCATAGAAAAGATACTGTGATAAGTCTGGTATGATGGTCACCATTCCATCCAACACATTTCATTGAGAAAAACATTCGACACATTTATTTTAGATATACGGTTGGATAAGACCCGCATATTCCTTCATCCATTCCGTATCATATGTACTTCACTCTTCTTGGTATCCCGAAATATAGATTTCACCGCGTATAAGAGTCTTTCCGCAATTTTGGTTTTAAACCACAACGGGAACCCCGAAGGGACCTCTCCAATAACTAGGACAATATAAAATCCGAAACTCTGTCCTGCGGACTACCGGTTTGACCCCAGGTTAAAACGTTCCAATGAAAGGCCGAGGATACATTAAACACCATCAGTTTATAGACCCGTCAGACTAGAGGCACCTTTTTTAATCCGGATTGCAATCACACAGATGGGCGAAGTTTTGCAAGATAACATGACTCGGGGGGCGAATATGAATGACCTATAAAGTATTGTTCGAAACTTAAGAAACTTTTAGTACTTTATAATTTAGGAGTAGATTCATTACCAGAGTAGTTTAGAAGAAAACTTTAATATTTTAGGACATTGCCTTAGGTTTAGTTTTCACAGGCTCCTCTTCACTTGGGTCCTTGAAAGAAGGGAGAGGAGAAAGTAGTAAAAATAATGAAAAAGAACAAATTTAAGAATGTATGTAAATATTCATTCCAATTCAGAAAAGTACGCCGACTCTAGAGTTTCGTAGAGAAGTCGTCCAGGGCCACACAAATGTACAGGATATAAGTTCCTCTAACTTATAACCACTTTTAGAGAAGTCGATATAAAATAGGCTAATACGCCTTTTAAGGTTTCCAAATTTGCACTGAACAGTGTATATTACTATGTCATCTATGAAGATCAAGGAGATATAAAACGGCAAATATCCATAGGCCATAAAGTTCTAGTGATCGAGCAAGTATAGGTACTCTTGCGACCATGAGCATAATTATAGTATGCTTCAGAAATATGCTTTGTAATGGATGATAAGAATTGATTTATGTATGTGGAATATATACCGGGTCCTTATGGTCCCTTTGTCCCACGAGTGCGTCTTTGGCAGCCTGCTAAAGCAACCGATCAGGGATATAATAGTAGCCGATATCCCCTTTAAATTCTCGATAGCATCTTCACCAATTCTCTGCCTTTTTAATCGCTGAAAATTTAGTTTAAAGAGCGCTACAATCATCATTAAATCTAAAGGAGATTTTTCAATGAATATACCACCGCCAACTTCTGTTTTTTGATCCATTAGGATATTATCATGCCGAAAAATTAATATGAAATTTTATTTTCGGCATACATAACCTTAATGTAATTGTCTGAAATGATTCTACGGATAAGTTTTTATGTGCTGTTGCCATCTCAATGGATGCCGCATTAGTATTGTGGCTGCGGAAAAAATTATGCACAAGCTGGTCGGGGAATTTCAACATTCTTGTCTATTTCGGAGAGTAATCTCGATAAGGTGCTTAAAGCTATGTCAGACTTGGAACACCAAGGTGCTGTTGAGTCGTTTCTAGCTCACACCGTGGTTGAAAAGCTCTTGCCCTGTTTGTAGGATTTAGAAATTAATAGTTGCGGAACATATCCAAGTCATCAGGATATCCAACGTTGTTTCAAATTTTCAATTCCTTTAGTTCACCTATAGTTTAATGTAAAAAGCTGTAGACTTCTAAAGTTAACATTAAAAGCGAAAAGATTTAGAGTTTTAAGTTGCTTCCACCAGGATATAGTCTGAGTATTTTACTCTCTCCACCACTTAAAAGGTAACCTCATTTTGAGCAGAAACGAGGTTAATCCAAACAACTTGGAATAGTTCTACGACTGAGAAGATGTAAACAATAGTAAGCTGACTGACAGCCGAAGACGCTCAACTCAAACCTTAAATGTGACTAGTGTTCAGGAATCACATGGCAACACAAGTAAAGGTGTACGACTTTGGTCGAGTTGAAATCAATTGAGTGAGGTATGAATGAGTGAACTGATAGCCTAAAATGGATATCGTTTCGGCGATTGTCTCTTCAGTAGAGCAAAGTCTTCTTGCAAGATCCGATGAACTGAAAATTACTATCTTCTGTATTAAGCGTTTGCACAAAGGGCATCACGGGCAGGTAGTCATTTTTGATTCTGTTTTCGTTATTTTAAGGCTTCTTGGCTTTAAAGGAAGCACCCTATCATACCACATCGAATCAGCATCCTCTCTTGAGAAAGATCAATAAAGGTATTATCGTCCGATGTTCAGAAACTCAGTTTCCTGTACGTAATTCCTAAGAATTTTCAATCGGTGTTCATTCATTCCCACTATATTTAGATCTAATTTCGACGACAGCCTAACAATGGCAAAGAAAAAGCTTTAAACTCTACATTCGTCTGTATGCGCATGTCCAATTAGATATAGTTGTGTCCGTAATCCTATGTGCCCACTCCAAATAACCTCAGATTTGCTTATTTTGAGGAGGCTTTTCGCCCTGCTCTCGTTAGGATCACTACAAAAGATCTTTGTGGTTTTACCTAACGTTTCATTATTCCCATATTTTTAATTCGGCCCTTGTTGCGTTGAATGGTTTTGCGTTCGACAAGAACATCAAGATAACTCTGGAATGGTTATATGGTTCATTTGGTCCAACCAAGATATTGTAGCTGTAACTCCCCTTTTTAGAAATCTCTACTTATCGTTCTGCTCACCTGTTAGGGTCACCCAATAGGATCATTATTACAAGAGGCCTTATGGGATTCTCACTCCCATATTGTGTGTTCGTCAAGTTAACTTTTCTTTTTATATTCACGACTTTGGTATAGAATGGTTAACTGGTTCATATGATCTAACGAAGATATAATAGTTGGAACATTAAGATAACTCTTAAATGTTGTGGTTGTAACTTCCCTTTTTTGGAATCTCTACAACTTGAAAACATTCTGGGGACTACATGGCAAGGGCTGAGATTAAAACTATATATAAAGCTCCCATACCATTGATGGAATCGTTTAGAATGATAGAGAAATGACGTTTCAAGCGATTAGCCTTAAACATGACCATGAAGTTTTTCAATACAAATCAAGTTAAATTTATATAAATAAGGGTTTATATTTTGGACTTTGAAAGTAATACAAATTTTGAACAATTAAAAGGAGAATAGATTACATTCCAGCTACGTTTTATATTTCCTTCAATTCTACAGTAAATAAGCCTTTTTTATAGAAATTTTTTATAGAAAACAAGTAAAATCAACTCTCTAATGGAATTTCAATGGCCAAATACCCAAAACTCTTAAACCCTGAAAATCCAAAAATGAATTTGATAAAATAAATAATATTGAAACAATAAACAATTGGTACCTATAAAATGAAAATATACCCACAACTATTAACTATAAATACAAACTATTCAAGCAAATAAATTGAAAAAATATTTAATTGACAAAAAATGAAACAAAAAAAAAAACACAAATTGTTAAATTGCACCGTTTCCTATTACTAATAATAAAAATTGTTGCAAAATGAATTTGAAAAAAAAGAAAATTTTGGAAATTGTTAAAAAAAACACTAAACAAAAATCTTAACAAATTTTTAAAAACTAAAAAAAAAAATAAAACAAAAAATGGCTGCTTTAATGAGTTTTTTAATAAAAAATATAATTTAAAAGTTTTCATTTCCGAAAGTAATTCACGTGAAGTTTTTATCTTTTTACTTCAAACAATTATATATTCCTTGAAAAATAACTGATTTTCCTAATAACTTTAATTAAAATTTTTAAGTTTATGTAGAAAACAAATATAATTGTTAAATTTTTTTCTCTGTTAAGTTTTAAAACCAATTATTTTATAATTATGTTTATTATTATTAAACATAAAATTTACATATTAATAGACAAAAACTACATACATAACTAATAACATTAATAATAAAAAAAATATTTGGTCAATTTTACGTATCATTTGCTTTAATA